AACGTATTCATAACTTACGGTGGTTATTCAATTAATTTGCGGTAGCACCTAGCTCCGTAATAAATACGGTAATTATATAGGTACACTTCTAGTTAACACTCCAAGAGCATCGGGCGAGGGATCCTTTGTAGGCTTTAAGCGGTATTGTACTACGATTTAAGTATATATCTTTTTATAAAGTGTGCATTTCGTACATTCTAAGTCGACTTGCTATTCTCACGCCTTTGTTCGGCTTTATCCCTTTGTACTCGTACAGAAGAGGAGGCTTTTCAGATGCTTTATACGCTTCTTGAAGCCTTAGGCACGAGGGATGGGAGCTTTAGAACTTTTGTATTAGGTGGCCATTTCTAGCTGAATGTAGGTATACTACCTTTTAACGGCTAAACTGGGCGACCTTATATTTAGAAGATCCAGCCAGGTCTCAGGTATTCATAAATCTTAGCACTACTTCTGACTTCCTAGGACGTTGAAGCATAAATAGTCGCTAAGTTCCCATGTACTCGATTTTTTACGCAACCTGCTACAGGGCATTGGGCCTGGACTTTGCATTACGGAGTCCTAGATGCTTACTGGGATACTAGATATTTAGGATGCTTTAGATAAGTAGCCACTAAGAAAAAAGAATTACAGTATAGCGGAGACGGAGGATGGTCCTCGACGAAACGTTGTCGCACTCTACCCTCTTTTAAGGCGGTTTGCGCCCGAGAAAGATGTTTGTCTGTGTCAGGACCTAGGTAGGGGTAGTGGTAGAAAACTGTTATTGCGCAAAGAACTCTACTTCTGCTATAGTGGTGGCCTCTGCTGTATACATGTAGTTTTCTTTGTTCTAACGAGAGTGTGTGACAGTCTGTTACCAGGGTCTATTGCTTGAGCTTTTTTTTCGAGGCGTGCTGGATGTATCCCCAAGTTGGGCAAGTCGAGTACTCATATAATATCCAAAGCGAGAGTTAAGGATAACGGCATGTCAAGTTTGCGATACGCTACGGGTCTATGTTCACGAGCGAATTTCTGTTCTCTGGAACCAAAAGACTGGCCAGAGATGGAGGAGCATGACGGTTGTGATTTTGTGCAATTTGCGTCTAGTACTGAAACGGCTACCCCATCACATTAACTAAGGGGTATAACTTCACCGTTGCATGTAGAGATAGACTTAATTTTACACTTCCACATGACTTTTTCAAAAAAATAAACGAGGGATTGAATTGATCACGGAAATCAGGTAGCTAGTTAGTTGGAAAATCATCGAGGAAATACAATGCAAGTAATACACTTTTATAACAAGCCCCCCCAATTTCAATCACCTGACCAGTCTCATAAGGCAATTTTACCTTACTCCATTTCAGTACCCAGCCAAGACTCTTAACAAGCCAATAAATACACCCCATCTTGGTCCATCCAACGGCGCGCCGTCGCGATGTTGATTCCGTGACAAAATCATGCGCGGCAGCCAGAAAAGGGCATACTTGCATACCTCTAAATAGGGCGAGAGGAACGGGAAGACGGGGATCAGGAGCGGTCCCAGCTTGGGCATCCAGCCCCTTGGTCCGGCCAGATGCGGGACGAAGATGCGGCACAGCGCGTAGTAGATCTTTTGCCATCGAGTCAGGTTTCTTCCTATCAAAAGACTAAGACTTTGGAACATACCGTTTCGGCCATGTCGGCAAAGGGTCCGCCGAGGTAATGGGCGACCACGGCGCTGCCCAGACGACCCGGGTACTGTATGTCCTCCCAACCCCAGTACGGCACAATGTGCCGGAGGGACATACCTCCCGCTTCGCGAAGGACTCGGTCCGTGGCGAGTAAGATGCCAAAGAGAATCGTATCGCAGACGAGGATTGAGACCAGGTAGGCAGGCATGTATCGCCAGGACCAACAATAAAGTTCGGTTCTCGGCCCCCACTGGACAAGGCGAAAGCTTGCAGGCTCAATGTCACGTCGCTAGCACCCAGCAATTAGCCTTTGAAATATTGCACGAGATGGAGGGCCGGAGCAACATACATTCTGTTGAAGCGACTCGAGGACACCGACGGTAAGAAAGGCCGACAGCACGTGAAGGAGCGCCATGGGCTTCGGGATATCCTCGTTAGGCAGCTGAAAGTAGTCGGTGACGGAGCCGAGAGCGACAAGGAGGCAAGCTACCAAGGCTTGATGGGTGCAGAGCGTCAGCTCGGTCCCGTTGCTGCCATGATGATGCCATTTCAACGAGGCATAGGTGGTGTACGCGGCTAGAGGGCCGATGATGAGTCGGAATGCCGTGACACAAAGAGGACAAAGGGCGAGGAGCCGGTAGATGGCGACCGCCCAGGCGGCAGCGGCCCAATATGTGATGTGATATTTGACCGATAGCATTGTGCGCCAGTAGCTAAGGAATGGGTATGTCGCTGCCACAAAAGGTCAAATCGCTCAGAGAAAACCGGTCGTAAATATGGGATAGGCCAGATTGACATATATATTTCGTGTCCAAATAAAATTAAGGTTGGGTAGAGTTCACCACTTCTACAAGCTGTACAAAGTAGGTGTATCATAGAACCACCCCTTATAGAAAGTTCAATCCTGCAGTTACCTAAACATGTAGGTAGGCGGACGACCTCAGGTAAGGTGCCGTCGCGGCTGTCCTTTAGAGGAATGAGTCGCCCCCGAAAGCCGTGACATTGCTTCCACAGACAGACTGCATGTACTAATTTCAGCTGATGAGCTATCTGACCTTGCCTCATTTGCTAAAGCTAGTTGTCCTCCCTTGAGGGTCTTGCAATCACAGAACTACAAGGTGCATCAATTTGTTCAGGAACATGATCCCGTTTTGCGCCTTCCCAGCCATATTCTTGGTAGGCCATCGGTGCCTTCCCGGAATGATGAAATGCTCCTGCTTGCGCTGCCTACCTCGTAAGTGCATCGTGAGGAAAGAGCAGCTTGTTGCAAGCTAGGCAACAAAGTCTCATGTTGTGTCTGCATCATGTCCTAGAATTCCCCCTTTTTTTTCCTCATCTGACCTACAATTCAAGATGCTCGCTCTTCGCCATTTTATCTACCCCGACCCCGTCCAAGCTGGACTGCTTGGTTCTATCACCATCCCAATAGCTCATTTCACTGGCAACCCACTGGCGCCAGCAGTGGCTGCCAGCTTGCTGGCGTACCTCATTGGGGTATTCAAGCGTTGCCATGTGGAGCTTTGGGAGCGGCTGATGGAACCCCATGAGCTTCCTCTCCTTGAGCAGCTTCGCCGGCTCGAAAGCGGCGTGTAAGCCTGCTGCCAGATGAGGACCGGGTGCTTGTATCTGGGGTAACGACAGGTACCAGGCGCCTCTGACAAAAGGAGGGAGGTTTGACAACAAGCAAGGCCGGCTCGGGGTAGGGAGGGTCGGATGACAACGTCCCGGTACCTTCGGGTCCAGCCGGGGCACCCCTAGACGGCTTCATTCCCCTTCCGAAGCATTACCGCATTATTAGTCGCTCAAAACTATTCTAAGGTATGCCAAGACTACAGCCAGGTTCTTATTTCTGCGCAGCTAATCATTCAACATCTTAAAGAGGCTGCAAAAAAACAAAAACAATAAAAAAACCTCACGTCGCAAGGCACCAAGAATGCAAGAAATCAGTCTACAACCACCTAATCAACATCCAAGGCATGCTCCGGGTCCTTGTCGGTCACCTCCGGTTTTTCATCTACCCCCTTGACTTGCGGCTGCTCGTGTACATCAACGCTACTGCCAATGTCAGTATCGGCACGCTACCCAGAGGGAGTTACGGATCATCTTGTGAGGGCTCGAGCCTTTGAGTTTGTTTTTGATCATTAGGTTCCCGAAAGAGAACAAGTCTCCCGGCACCCTAGACAACTTCACGATAGCACTACCTGTTGCGCGTACCACTACGCCAGGAGGGATCCCATTCTTGGAGTTGGCTAGCGTTAGGTATACAAGGAGTTCTCCTTACGACATACCACTCACACCAACACCGAAAGCACATCATGGACACCCCCAGACAATCCCATGGAACCTGCTCAGTCTTTCCAGTGTTGTTCTTTTCGACGTTGTCAGACTACCAACGCCACCAGCATCAGCAAAGCCGTGCCCGGTTACAACAGTCGCGGGGCTACCTGCGGTCATTTTCACATCCGCATCGAGAGTGCAGCAGCATCGGAGGCTTGAGCACATCATCCCTGTCAATCCTGCAAACGACACGGATTCTGGGTAACCTACACATCAGGGGTGGAGCTTGTGGAATATGCATTGGGGAAATTAAGTGAATGTAAAGCAAGATGCTTCAGACATAACGAGGAATAATTTTGCTGCTGTACTAGGGGACCCACCGTTGGAAATCTAATAGAGATCTTGGGAGGATAGATTAACTAGATAATAACAAAAGATGTATTTATATTTAGGGTAAGAGCCAAGCTTATTTTCGATTGTAACGTGTGAATGCTTTATGAAGTGTTTATAAATATATAGCTAGAGGGTAAGATTAGTTCTGGCCGATAAGATAAACTCGTAAATGCTAGGTGAAGACGAGATGAAGATTACAGTATGTGGAAGTTTTTACGTATTGCGTTGCTTAGATGAACGGAGCCGGATGGTTGAACCGTTTTAACAACTGTTCTAAGTAACGTATTCTACCTAGGTATGTATAGGTATCTAGGTAGTTAGCTGGCTGAGGACAGGCTGAAGCCTGAGCAAAAGCGGCAAGCGAGCTAAGCCCACTTTGAGATACGCCACAGAAGCTCGGACAACCTACTACCTCTGGATGCTGGAGTTGAGTCGGCAATTGCCTAGACTCCAGTCACTGAACGTGGCCATGACTCCGCTCTGTGGAGTCCCCCAGGTCTGTCTGTTCGTTCTACAGTATAGCGATAAAAAAGGATGGAGGATTTCACAAAAAAAGATATTTTTTAATTAATCTACAGCATTACAACGAAAACACCATACAGCCTTGATGACAACTAACAAAGGTCGGCAAGAGACATTTTGAAGAGAAGACAGAAAAAAAATATACGAAAAAACTAATTCTGATGAGAAGGGGATTCGAACCCCTGCGGATTGCTCCAGTAGAATGCTACCTGTTAAACAGGTAAAGAGAAGCCTCTTGAGTCTACCGCCTTAACCACTCGGCCATCTCACCGAAATTCTTATTGAATGCTGTTGATGCATGATGCTGTTCACAAATGCCATTATCACTAGACTGTGTGTGCCAAGGTCTACCAAGCTAGGAGTGAGGCCCGAGAATCGAAATCCAGTCTACCACTAAGACCATTAAAGCCACATTCCCGAATTAACACGATCCCTAACCCTATAATAGAAGCGAGAAAAAATCAAGAGGCATGCTCTTCCTCGCTTTACTTATCTGTTACCGAGGGTATGTGAATCGCACGAGCATCCTCAACTCCGCTGGCTACGTATGCTATCACGCCACATGCTAGGGATCACGGCGACGCCCGTGAAATGACGGTCACAGCCGATTTTCAATCCAAGATCGTGTGGCTACAACAAATTTGGTTTGAGTTTGACACCTCTCGCAAAAGACAAGAGAGAAGAAAAAAAAAAGGAAAGATTTACCAAGTATTAATTCGCCAAGGGAGGTTGTCCCTCGGCCACCTAGTGAGGCAAAAGGCTAAAACTCTCGTCGTGTAATCCCACATTCACACGCATACACCTAAACTTGTTAACCAATACTAGTAGATAAGCCTGCAAACAAACCCCCGTCTACATTACCCACTCTCACACAATTCACATTCCTGGCAGACTTAACCCCCACTACGCCCGCCTATCGTTGTCACGGTTGTTGTTATAGGCTTCTTTTCTTGTAAACCCATGTCATCTCTGCCATGTTGTGGTGAGACAACCTGGAATACTTCTGACTTAGCAATGGAAGCGTATTTACGCCGCTTCGACAAGAAACTATGAGATGAAAAGAATCAGTACCGCGGCTGAACAATTATAGAGCGGCACATGTTCCCTTGTCGCCAACAAGGGGAGGGGTTCGGATTTACTCACTATATACCACCCACTACAGCAGCTAGGAACGGTACACCGAGGCCGACGGTGAGGCCGATGATCAGTCGCGTGTCCACACCGTCGATATTCCCCGAAGTTTCATCATCTGATGCGTCACCTTGGCTGCCCGAACCGGTTGTTGCTGTAGTTGAAGATGGTGACGTCGTCGGTGGAGGCGGCGGGACATACGAGACGGGACTTCCGGTCGTCGCATCAACTATCTTGATGTTCTCCGCAAAAGGAATCGCCTCCGAGATCGTGTCTTGCGTCGTCGCGGGAAAGGTAGCCTTCGAGCCTGAGGGCACTTCAACCACGAGCGTCCTCGTGCTTGTGACCTTAGTTGTGCTTTGCAGGGATGCAGGACATTCGGCAAGGCCTGTTGATATACACGCCAGACCCGTGAATGTGACCTCGTCGCTGATTGTCGTCGTCGTCATGCTCATATCCGCTCTTGCGGCAACTGACGGAATGGACGTGGTAATGATGGTGACGGGGGCAGTTTTAGTCGCAGACTTGGCGCACTCATCAGCTAAAGTCGTGTAAAAGATCGGAATATTCGTCGACGGGTTGGGGCCCCATGTCTCGGGCCCAATGGCGAGTGTCGCGCCGGCAGCGGCTCCCAGCGCAAGCTGATAGACCTGCTGCACACGCAACTGGCAGTCACTATCATCCCCATCAGGCATGGCCGTGATGTTCGTAGTGAACTCGGCCAAATCGGCGTAGACCAAGACCTCTGTGCCCGTGCTAACTGGTAGAAACGAACTAATCTGATCATTTTCTACGGAGACTCCTGCATGCATGCCTACACGCAACCTTGCTGTGAGGATGCCGTTGGCGCTCTGGACGGTGACAGGTAGGAACTCGAAGGATCCGCCATGACTGATACCAAGAGTTAGTCTCTATGGGCTTCATATACTGTCTAGATTCACGGCCACTTACAAAGTCACACTAGAAACATTTTGGCTGAAGAGTGACAGGTCCAGCGTCATCCCGTCATCGACTTTTATGTGCAGGCCACTGCTAATATCAATATCTGCATCCACCGCTAGGATGAGGTCGATTGAGACAACCACTCCCACAAATGTCTCGCTATCGACCGAGAGCCCGATCGGGGTATTGCTCGAGTAAAGATTGAGCGTATACGTCGCGCCCGCCGAGAGAACAGTGTCTATCAACATGTACAGCTCCAGGTCGTCGAATTGAAATTTTAGGCGGCATTCGGGGATATCGGGCACATCAACATTGAAACTAATATTCAAGGGCGGGAAGCTAACATCGCTGAAGTCGAGATCGTCGGTCAAGTTCCGCAATAGTCCCGGGACCTGATCGTCTAGGTACTCAACAGCGGCCGTTGTGATATTGGTGATTTCCTCTCCGACATCTTTCGTGAAGTTCGTGATTGCTTGGGCGATATTGAAATCACCGTCGAAGCCAAGTTCGGCCGTGACGAACCCTTTCACGTAACATGTTGTGCATGTTATTTCGATCCCACTGGATATTGATGTGTCTCCCTTGGTTGCTACTTGGCCCTCGCTATCCGCGAGGTCAGAAACGGCTTTAGACTTATATTTATAGGCTATCATGGATGTTTTCTTACAGGCTGAACAGTGTGGCACCATTCCAACTTTTCGCTATATTGGTGGTATTTTTCGGATTATTATCGCGTCCCAGCAACTTGTTGTGTCGCAATGTCCTTGAGAGGGTTCGCAAAGTATCTAGTGGCGACGAAGTTCTTGGACCATTGAGTTGATGCGGCCCGCGGGCTGCACCAACGTCCGATACCAGTATCAGACTAAGTAGGGATGAATATACAGATCTTATCTTCATGATTATTAGGGGGGATAAGAAAGGCTCGATGCTCGTAGGACGAGGTCACTGCGTAAGACCATCGAAGGAATTACGGATTAAAGAACATCATGAAAAAATAAGACTCTGACTACCGTTCCTTATCAACACATATTTAACATTCTATCACTAGCTTGTCTATGGTACGATGAACTCGTGGGGGCCGCAGGAAAGGGAGCCTCCTACGGGCTCCACGATTTCGATTTGGGTGTTGGCATAGTGCATCCAGCTTAGCGACAGGAATGCAGCTAATCGAGGCTGCGCACATGTAGCCTGGTCTCGTTTCACACCTGAATTTCATTGTTTTTGGAAATCTACCTCAAATCTACCAAAAATAGGCGAGCAGAGCTGGAGCTGAATTCCAGTGCAAGCGGGGGGAAGGGCTGCCATAGAATCCTACAGACGTCGAGAAACAGTCGCAGGGTTGCTATGCAGAGTCTGAGACAATGTTGGTAGCATTTTGCTGCGTTTGGTTTCGCGTTGGCTGCAATGTGTGATCCTTCACCTCAATTGTGGCGCGTACGAGACCCACGATTCCAATTGTTAGTGACGGAATTGTAAGACACAAAGCTTATTCTCTCGTCTACCCTATTCCCTTTTAGCTCATGAGGCGCAATATTGTTCCTCTTCTACCACATTAATTCTATTGTCTCTACCGCGGACACGCAGCCGGGACTTTCGACGCGGCGGAATAAAAGCCATGGATCACTGTTTCACTAGTGCCACCAACATTAACTATTGCGAGGAGCGCGCTTTATCGCTAGCTTAAATACTTATCGTATTGAGCGAGATAGCGTTCTTAGTCGCCCAATGTTATCTTTTATTTAATTGCCCTACGGGGTGGGGAGTTGGTGCAGGCGGTGAGCGCGGCCGCAAGATGACCACCTCCCAGGGCTCGAGTACAGTCAGTACATGCACACAGCAATTCGTACCACGATGCAGCAAGACAACGAGGCTACAGAACTTGAACTTCAAATATTATGCTGCGGGCTTATTCAATCTTACTGGGCCGAACGAATGCACTCAAGACAAGTTTGATTCTCGGGAGGTTTGATGCTGGATTACCATGCACATCAGTGCTTACACCAGATCTGACCTCTCGCAATGGAGGTAAGTGCACAAGATACTCATTTTTATAAAGTGTGCAAGATTTTTTATTTATTTTAAATTCCCCCCTGCCATAGGGAGATGATGTCGATGAAATACAACATCTATTCTGCTACTCACTATTCTGTTTGAAACCAATCTCCTCTTGGGCGTCAGTTGTGATAATGAATGGGGTTGTTGGTTAGGAATAACCAATGTTCAACTTTACTCACATATAAAGTATCCCAAGTCCATTTATCCTCCATCTTGCTTCGTTATCGGACTTTATTTATTCACGTTTTCTCGATCTATCGTATCGCATCATTTCTACCACTCGCGTGCTTCTATTAGCTATCCCTGTGTGTCTCTAGCGGTATCAAGCAACGTAACAACCGAATGCAGGTAGCCGGACAAGCTTAAGCCCTGTTAGATAGTGTCTAGCGGGAAAACGCCGGATATCTAAATTTAGAGAGTTGAATTCTGAAGAGAATTACCTAGTCGGCAGAAAGATTGCTTTTGCTGCTCTGGTTGGTGAACTTGGTTACACCTCTACGGGATCACAACATTTGTTCTCCTACATCGTCCTCGCATTGCCGTTTCGAGCCTGGGCATTAAATGCTATATGAAACATGCGGCTTGAAAGTCTCAGCCTTCCTTATTTTTGTCATGGTACCAATATCTCGAATTCTAGAGCAGAGAGTGCTCTTAATGTGGCCCTGCATGTGCATGTTTTGGTCTGTTACTCACACAGCCAGCGCGTGTACGTACTAGTAATAATATCCCAATCAAACAAGGCTTATTTATGTCTTGTAGCAGACCAGACCCTTTGCCTTGTATTAAAGTAGAAAATCAATCAAGCCGCCTGCTTATTTCTGGCCCGATTGAGTCGGCTTTGCTTCCCCTCTTGGGACGAGGACGGGGGGTTTAGGAGTGTTCGAACTCTCCTATAGTTTGAATTAGTCGTTTTTATCCCGCCTTCTGAAATATGTGTGAGATGCCGTTATTTGGACCCTTCATTTCCACCTCAGTCTAGGAAAGTATTCTTAGTTGTCCGATTCTCTTAAATAACATGGCATTATCACACTTTTAGTCCGGCCGGGCACCTAGTGCCAACAAGGAGGGCTTTCTTTCGTATTGAAGTGAAGCGATATGGGTGTGGCCGATAAGAACGGCTGGCAGAAAGAAAGTGGTATATAT